TAATTGGTAAAAATAATTTTGTAATTATATTAATTTTGTGACTATAGAGGAGGTGACTATAGAGGGGGTTGACTGTATATTAATTTTGTGACTATAGAGGAGGTGACTATAGAGGGGTTGACTGTAGTTGGATATTTTACTACGATATTATTACCCCATTTTTGTAATTCTTTCCAAAGCTAGTTTTGTAAACATAAGCGAAACATGAACGTAACCAATGTGCCTCCGTCTCAATAAGGTGTGTCTCAAAAAGATTTATTAACTCTCCAAGAAGTTCACAAGCAACTATCATAAGATCAAAAGTTGATGATGCATCAAGATTTTCTAAAGAGAATACTCCTCCATAAATTATTTATTAAATTATTGATTAAAACTAGAAAATCAGTTTAAGTCCCGATTTTCATTTTTATTGGTGGTTTCCGACAAACCTCGCATGAACTTCGGACAATAATAAACTTAAAAACCGAAGTCTTGTTTTATTATATAGTATACGATAATTTTAAGTTATTGGCAAAAATCTAAATCTATGATTCTAAATTATTGCCAAAACCCTAAATATCCGGGTTATGAAAACCAAGAAATTAATTTATATACCCAATAAAAAGTTAGATTTTATTAATCGCATTATCGGAAACATAAAAAAATTGCTAAAATTGTAAATTCATTACATTAATTAGAAATTGAATTTTAAAGCTATAATATAATGGCTTGTCGGTGAGTTATCGATTACATAATCTCGTCTAGAATTCCATATTATTTAGCATGAACTGCACTATAGTATTCATAATTAAATTCCAAAATTCGCACACATAACTTACCTTTTAATACACTTAACCATTCATTTTACGGTAATAAAGGAACAACACGCAACCTTTCCAATATTAAGTCATGTTCTTTTGATTTTGGTAATTTAGAAGATACCCAATCTGGATCCGTGAGTTGTGATATGTCGTTGCCTTTATCTTTTGGTATTTGCTATTAACATAAATTACAATTACTTGGTCAATTAAATTCTAATAATTACGACTTTTAAGAAATGACATACCGCTTTAATTTTATTATAAGGAATCTCTCTTGAAGAATATTCTCTTAATATATAATTTGATCCAAATTCATGATACACTCTTGTTTCGTTCAATTGAAATAATACATCATCAACGCGTAGGAAGAATCGTTGAAGTATGAAAAATCCAGATGGCATAACTCGCTATAATCAGTTAAATTAGATGAATTAATGAATCACGATGAAAAAAAAAATTAATAAGGGACAATTACATAACTTATCTTTAAATTCATTTATTTCTATAATATTTATTTGACGTGAATATTGTAATATTAGCTTTTTTGGTGATGTTAAACTCACCACTTTAGCATTAAGTATCGCAGTTCCATTATCGGCTAATTCATCTTCAAACAAAATAACTTCATCATAAAATAAAATCGGCTCAGGAAGTTTGAGTTTTTCCACGTTAATTCTGTCAGTAGTTTTTTCAAACTCTTGCTATTATAAAGATAATAGTTATTAAGTTGATAAAATGGAAATTATCTGAAAAAAAAAAAAAAATTGGGCCATTATGAATAATTATAACATACATGCCCATGTATCAATGTGCCAGAATATGAAGTGGAATATGTCCAATCGTAAGGTTTGACTACATCTTTGATATGTCCATGATTCTTGGCACTACCAAATAAAATCAAGCTAATTAATTATCTTTTGACTGCTGAAACATTTTTCTTGATTTAAACATTACCTTTTATGCTTCCATTCTTCTGAATATGCGACTTTAACTTTATTTCCACCTTCTTCAGTTGCATCAATAAATTTTAACGCATCTACCGGTGATAATTCAAAAACAACACCGTGTTCATTGGCTACTTGTAATTTATTATTGCCAAAAAACATTTCCGGGAGTGGAATAGAAAGTTGTTTTTGTACTCTATTTTGAAAATAGTGTGAATTGATCACAAATATTTAACGGCGATTCGACAGGAAAGTAATAATTAAAGTAAGAGTACCGATCAATTTCTTGTGAACTAAAGATTGGAAGTTTAGTGGTTGAGATCGTCCAACCACGAATTCGGATACCTTGTTGTGAGCCTTCGGTGAAGTTTTCATGCTTTGGGAGATCCATTGTAATTTCAAAGTTCATATAAAGTTCATACAAAGTTCATAAAGCTGCTATACCCCTGCGCTAGTCTTAACGTGAATAGCTAATTTATCCAGTTCTCTTATTGGACGATGACATTTCTGTCAATGCAGGGGTCGTCTAAAGCCATGTACCCACGTGACTTTTTTGTGTAAATCAACCAACCGGAATTGCGAAATTTTGTTTA